GAAGGAAGTGATGTGTCACTAACGAAGGTGGTGCAAGACCTGTGCCCTGGCAGGTCACACGTGTCTGTGTCACAGCTAAGTGAGCTTTGCTTACACAACCCCAACAGCCAGAGCTGCCCTCTGACCACTGTTTGATTTTTAACAGCATAAATAAAGACCCTGGGTTTTTTTGCAACCTGACAGAATTAAATTAGTTCTCTTTTTAAAACAGGTTTATAACAATCTTGTCTTTCCTACCCAAATTAACCAACTTCTGGTTAGGACTGAGCAGCTTCAGATATTCCTTAAGGGAAAAAAAAAAAGCAGCATCTACTCAAGTGTTTTTTGCCAATAAAATATTGCAACCTTTATTTAAAACAAAATGCAAATTGGCAAAACTTTGTGGAACGACAGGCAAAGAGGCCCTTCCAAGGGCCTTATTTACATCAAGTTTAACACTGTTCGCAGTTCACAGTCAGACGATAGTGAGAGAATTAAATTAGAAAAACAACCAAAATATATTACAATAACAATTAAAAAACAAAAACAGTTGACAACACTGGTAGAGTGATTGGTGATCAACGTGTTTCATCTTAATCCATTCCTGCCCTCCACAAGTTCACTAGCGATACGCACCTCGTGCCGTGCCGAGCCCGTCGGGCCTCGCCTGCCCACGCGGCTCACACGTGGGAAGAACAACCTCCTTTGGTACAGACATTGCTTAACGTGCAGGTGGAACTAGATCAGGTGTCCCAGAACCTCCTGTCACCTGCCCCGGGCTGAGGGTTGGCTGCACACTCGGCGCCCCCCGCGCTGACCGGGGAGGTTTCCTCACGCCGCGCTCACTGCCTTTGGGTCCTGCTGCAGCTCCTGTTAGCAGCAGAGCTGGTTGGGGTGTGACACGAGAAGACATCAGTGTGTTAGCTCAGCCTGTTAGCTCAGCAACAACCACCTCCTGGAGTCACTAGTGCTGCCACAGCTGCGGATGCCCCAGAGCTCTGAGCAGGAAACCGCGGAGCGCGTGGCCGCGGTGGCCGCGGTGGCTGCAGGGGAGGACTCAGGTAGGTGGGACAGGCACCAGGGCTGGGACTGCTCTGTGGCTGCACAGCATAACTGTCCCACCCTCACACCTCTCACACCGCGTGGCAGGGAGGGGCTGCTCTGTCCCTGCCCCATGCTGTGGGATTTAGTTCCCACTGCCTGCAGAGCATGGAGTGCCCCAAAACTCCTGCATGAGCACAACTAATGGATGTCAACGTGTGTTTGTGTCTCACTGACACGAGGCCAGTGGTGCTCAGAAGAACACCCTGTGTGAGGAGGACAGGGACAGCCTTCCCTCCCTGTTGTGTTCTGCATCAGCAACACTGCTCCTTTCAGTTCTCCTTTCCCAGTGGCTAAATTTGGTGCAGTCCCTAGACCCAGACTCTCCATTCAGCTTCACCCCTGTCCACGCCAATGAAGAACATGATCACATCGATGTGCTGCCACTCAGGCAGCCAAGTGCACCTCTTGGGGGTTAAAAAGGGTGTACAGTGCAGGAAGAAGAGAACTGCACCTGTGAATCAGCTAATTCCCACAGTGGCAGGAAGAGAAAGTGCCCCACTGAGCTCACCCTGTGAGCACATGCTTTGTGCTTGGCATTACCAGCCCGACGTGGTGCCACCCCCACTGCAGAGACAACACTTTAAATCCTAGCCCATACTAGTGCAAGTGAGAGAACCTGGCTGTGAGTGGCTCCACACCCACCATGGCTGCCTGACAGTGCTGAGGAGAGGAAACAACAGGATTTGTGCCCTGTCCCCTGCCCCAGACAGTGGAGCTCCTCACCGGGACAGGTGAGGCTGAAAGCAGAGCAGCAGCCACAGTGGAGACCTTTAAGGCTGAAGAGAGAGCCAGACCTAGCTAAAGGAAGAGGGAATGGCAATGGTTTCAGGAGTAGCTGTGGAAGAACAACTGGATGGTGATTTACAGCAGAACCAGCTATCCCAGACAGTATCATTTTGCTATCCTGTCAGCAGGCAGGGGAACATTCCAGTTTGGGAGTAAAACACCAAAGGGCAGCACAAACAGCAACGATTCTGCAGCCTCCTATTTAGGGGGAAAAAAACCTACTGTCAATCAGCACTGCCTCTGGCACCATCTACCTACCTGATGAGAGATGACAGGTAAGAGCAGAGAAGTGCTCTCCATGGGAGTGACAGCACCTAAATCCCCAAAGTCCTCTGGTCTATGCTTTTCCACCTGCTTGGGCAGGGGCTTGGACCAGGTGACCCCCAAAGGTCCCTCCAACCTCAGCCATTCTGTGACTCTGTAGAAGTCTTACTGCCCAGCTCCTCTGCAGGGGGAAGGAGAAACCAGATGGCATCTGAAAGGACGTGGGGATGACCTGTGGAGGGGCACCAGTGCCTGCTGGGACACAGCTGGTTTCTTCAGAAAGGGCTGGAAGAGGGGAGTTCTAGTAGTTAGAAATTCCATTTTGCTATTCTATTGCTTTTGCTGGAGCTTTTCTGGAAGACTGGCACTCAGGAAAAAAAAAGGCTTCTTTCAAAATACTCCTCAGAACTAGACTAACAGCCTTAAAATGTTCTTTCCCCTGAGACTCCCTTCAGTTTCAGCCTGTTTGGCCTAGGCTGAGCAGCAGCACAATGATGAAACCATGTGATTGTCTGCCGGGGCAGACAGGAGCTGCCCCAAACAGCTGTCCTACCTTCCACCTCCTGATTGTTTGACAGGCCCTGTGAAGCAATGCCACAAGCCTCCTTCCCTCTGCAGATAGTTTGGATGCACACCTTCCCTCCATAAAGATGACTGAAAGAGATAAGGTAAACCACAGAAGCCCTCGGTAAAGTCTGCAAGATAAGGGGCTGGTTGGCTGCACACCCAGGCAGCAGGAGGGGTTACTTGATTCCTTTTTCTCCCCATCCTTTTGCTCATGTGGCCCAGTGTATCACACCCTGCTCCACTACTGTGCCTCCATGCACTGTGGCACAATTTTGCTTACCACAGACCAGGAATAAAATGAGGATTCATCAGCTCGCTCTTAAGATTTATCAAGGCCTGGATCTTGCTGTGCCCCATGAAAAAAAAAGGGACAATCATTGGGACAGACCAGCCTGCTTCCAAACACCCACAGAGTGGTGGCTCTAGACAGAAATGAAGTGCCCATCTCCTAACTCCTCACCTGTGCCCCAGTGCCACTAAATGCTCAAACTAAAAGCAGCACAGCCACACTTTAGAAACAAGGGGAGAAAGCATATAGGCAGAAAATAAAAGACTTAAGGTGCAAAGCAAGTGAGATCCTCTATCACCAGCAGTGTGAGGTGAGCAGCAGCATGCAGGGTACCCAGGTGTCAGCCCTGTTCCCTTCCTCTCCAAAACCACAGCCCAGGTCTGCCCGTTCCCAGCGCGGGGAGTTGTGCGTATACGCAGCAGATCACCTTTCTGAGGCCACACCAGTCCACAGCACCAGGACCAAGGAAGACAACACCAACCACTCAGCTGCTCTCACTCTGGGACTGTTAGAAGGCATCAGAGGCACAGTGGGAGCCCTTCAAGGCAGAGTCGTGACGGTTGTTGTCAGGTCTCAGGCAGAGGAGTGCACATTCCCTACCCCACAGCACAGGACTCTGGACTAGCCTTTAAAACAGAGGAGTAAATGAACAGAGATGCCTGTGGTTCCCTGTGTGCTGCCATCCCTTGTCACTCTGGATGTGGGGAAGCTGGAAGCCTACAGGAGTGGTAAGCACTAGAGCAAACCCCGGGAAGCTGGTGGTGTGCCGGGCCAGGGATCCTGCAGCAGTGAGGGTGTGTGGCAGGCAGGCCAGGCTGTACTTTCTGCAGTGCTGTGACTGCTGAAGGAATGCAGAGAACAGCCAGGGGTGGCAGAGGCTCTGCCTAACCTACCATGGGTCCTCAAGGTGATCAAACTGAACTGGGGAGTCAACCTGGTAACAAGTTAAAAACAATCTAGAGCTTAAAAAAGAAAGAACCCACCCACCCCCAACAACAACACTGGCAAAGTTGTGCAAGAGCTCCAAACTACTCAAAAACGACCATCAAGCAGCACCCGTGCTAGACCACTAGAAACAGGGATGAGCTGAGTGAAGGCTGTGTGGTGGGGAAGGGGAATTCCAGTGGTAAGTCTGCCCAGCATCCCTGACCTTCTGGTACAATGACGATGAGAACGTGGCGGATGAGGTGGACAGGAGGGAAAAGGGATAGTTTCATATATTAACTAACTTTGCAGTTCTCATTACAGCAGCAACAGTGCTGTGGAAGTTAAGCCATCCAGGCTAGTGCATCCACCTCCAGCAGCTCTGAATACTGTCAGTGCATCAGACCTTTGCCCCAGCTGCACGTGACCCTCGGGAGCGCGTCCGGCTCCGACCGCGCGGCTGTTGGTACCGGCAGAGCCCCAGTGCCTTTCCTCTGCCTCAGCAGGAGAGCAGAGCACAGCTGAGCGAGGGCAGGGTCTGTGTAGCTGAGTGGCCTGCAGCCACCCCAGTACTCCAGCTATCACACATCAACCATCCTTCCCAGAGCGAGAACCTGCCGTGGGTTCTCCTGCCTCTCCAAGGGAGGAGCGAGGACCTTCCTTCCCTTGCCATACCAAGCAGATCAGCCTGACTAGGCAGGGACAGATCCTTGGTGTTCTGCCCCTTACAGCTTTAATCTACCCTCTCCATCCCCTTTCTTTTTTTTGAGATGAACCTGTAAACGTGAGGAGAACTCAGTGATCTGAGGTACTTCACATACTCAAGTATCAGTCTTTCCTTTTGAAAGCATCAGTACAGAAAAAAACGTGTCCCCCCTCCCCGTGTGTGTTTCTCTTACCCAGACTGCCAGTAGCTACCTTTGCACCACGTCGCTGATTTCTTGGACACATGACAATAAGTTATTAAGGACGGGGTTTGCCCCAGGGACACCAGCAGCCGTGGAGGACACCTGCAGCTCCTGCAGGCTGAGTTCCAGTTTGCTCACGGCCTCCCGGAAGGCGAATTTGTTGCGCGTGTGCGGGATGCAGTCCACGTAGCCTGAGCAGTAATCCAGCAGCTGGTGCCCCGTGTCCACCAGCTGGCTGTTGGGGGTGGGCTCGGCGATGGCACTCGAGAGCAGATCTGCACACTCCAGCAGGGCTTCCTTGCTGATCTTGTCCGCGGAGATTTTCTCAGCTGCCTGTTTGGTCTTTCTCAGAGCTACTTTCGCACCCGCCGTGCCGTTGGCCATTTTCACTGGGGAGGTGGAAGACGATGACAGAGGCACTTGAGGTGGAGGCATCACAGGCCTCCCGGATTTTCCACCAACAGGTGCTGCTGCCGCCTTCTTACTCCCTTCGCCGGATTCCAGTCCGTGCTGCGCTCCGGCCGCGCCGCTCGGCTCTTCCGCCGCGTCAGGGCAGGCAGCTGGCTGCTGGAGGAGCCTCATCACTGGTGGTGGAGGTGGAGCACACTTTGGTTTTACCCGTCTGGGCCGGTCCCTGTCGCCGGAAGAAGTGACCTGATGCTCAGATAAGAGCTTAAATTTATTACCCTGAGAGTCTGTGCCAATGAGCTGCACATCTGCTGGAGTGTGTTTGAGAGTGGGTGAGATTAGGACTGGCACTTTGTGGTTGTGAGTGGTTGGAAGTATTGCTGCAGCCTTTACTGGAGATGACCACCCTGGCCTCTCGCCATCCTCAAGGGCCCCTTGTCGTGGGCCACTGTTTTTTTCCTTGCCCTTAGGAGCCGCTACTAGCCCCGGACCCTCCTTTTCTTCCGACGCGGAGGGAGTTCGGAAAGGGAGCGCTGTGGCTCCCCTTGGCAAGAGTTTTGCTTTTGGTCTCTCTCTGGTCAAAGCAGGGCCTTCTTCAAACCTCTTGGGAAGCAGGTCACTGCCCCTCCCCGTGCTCTCATCGGGCTGAGAGGAGGTGGACACTGTCCGTTCCAGCTGAATTTTTGACCTCTGGGAATTTCTGGGAAGGGTCATTGCCATCCTATCCTGCTCCGGAAGCCCTGAGGACATGGAAGATGTAGAGTTTGACCTTGGAAAAGGCTTTGAAGCTTCTTCATTGCCAGTGGGTTTTCCTGCTCGCAAACCCAGCGTCTTTTTAATCAGGCGTGGGGTGAAGAAGCCGGTGATGCCTGACCACCCACCACCGGTGCTCACGCCCCCAGCACTGCTGCCACCTGTGCCATCGTCATTGTAGAAGGTCCTCTGCACAAAGCTCCCTCCATAGCACTTGGGGGGCACCAGGCTGGAGTCCTGCTGCGTGGGAGCAAAGGAGAACCCATCCACGTGCTGCAAGGAAGCAACAGAGGAAAAGTTACCCGTCAGCTCGTACTTCTTGTGGGGCTGGTTCTCCATCTCCCGGAAGGAACTGCTGCGCTTGGGGGGCGTGGGAGCATTCCTCTTCTTCATGAAGGAGCTGAAGAAGCCACCTTTCCTGTCCCTGGTGAACGTGGTCTCTTTGGCATCCTCCAGCAGGCTGCTGGGTGATTTGTCCCTCTGCTTGCGGGGCAGCGCGGGAGAGCCGCTCGCGGGCTGTGTGCTTCGGATGAACCCTGCCCAGGAGGAACAAGGGTGAGTGCCAAAACCTATTGCCATTCCCAGCTCCCTGCGTTGCTTTATAGGCCTGGTGTATTTCCCTGCCCAGGTGCTGCAGAAGTAGATAGAGTGAGAGAGCAAGCTGGCACCTTTTTTTGATATGAGGCTGGTGGGATCTGATTTCTTTCCTCTTTACCTTTTTTTTTTCCTAATGCTGCACATATGACCTGTCTGTTGTCTATACTGAGGAAGCCACTTAGGAGAGTTCAGGAAAAAGTGAAGTTGCTCTTTTCTTCCACTTATTCTCCTCCTGTAATTTTTTCCTCTTTCCCCAAATACCATAAGTATAAAAGCAAAATCTCTTGTTGCACTGTCAACTTCAGTTTTGAAGCTGTCAGTTAAAAAACAGCAGCAAAACTAAACTTGAAAGAAAAAAATACACTGGGGTTTACTAAAAGAACATAGAAGAAGCTGCAGATTTCCATTTGCTAGTAAATAACAAACACAGCAACCCAAAGCAGCTTCCCATGTCTTGTTCTGTTTCTCTGGGAATTCACACCCAGAGCACGTGGCCTCACTGCCACTGTCACAGTGCCATACCTGGTGCTGAGCTGGAAGCTGAGTGCTCCACAGTATCCTGTGCTCCTTCAATGTTCTCCTTGTTCTCTGCCTGTTTCTTCAGTGTTCTTGTCTTGGAGGGAAGCATGGGTAACCGGGGCAGGTAAGGGACTATGGAGGAGGAGGAGGCTGTTCTTCCAAGCTCCTCTGCTACCTCTGCAGGGAATAAAAAAGGAATAGTTGGAAGAGAGACCAGCAGAGGAGAAGAAAACCTGGGTCTTTACTGCAAGCCCAGTCTGGCAGGAGGAGATCCACCACTGAGAAATACATAATTTATGGATTTAGCTTTTGTTCAAGTCTAGAGGTATTCAGGGTCAGATGTTTTTCATAATGGCTTCAAACTCATTTACATTTTTATAAATTCAGCCAAGCAAACAGTGGTAGGACCTGTACAGGAGGTCTAGGATTAATCTAGCTGTGCTAGGTTAAGTGTTGCTCAGGAGCTAAATCAGCACTGAAAGCATTTGCCTCTGTTTTTAATCAAGGTGCCTCCTGTTGATGCTTCTGGGATCCTCCAAGAGTTGTGTCCTCTCTGGATCTGGATCTAAGCTGCTTTGCTCCTCCCTATTAGAAGTGCAGACTGCATGTTTCCTTTCCAACACCAACAAAAGGTGACTGGGAAAAAAAAAAACAACAAAACACCAGGAAAAAAACCACCAACAAAAGGTGACTGGGAAAAAAAACCAACAAAACACCAGGAAAAAAAAACACACACTCCTGGCCACACCCAGGTTGGCATTTGTGTGGCCACTGGATGTGTCTGTTACAGATCGTCCCTGGCAGAATTCCATCTGGTGTGTTTTTTCTGCAGTAGGGAAGTAGATGGATCAGTTTCATATTTAATGTAAAAGATTTTGGTAGGTGCTCAGAAATTTCTGTTATCTGCTGAATAGTATCACACGCCTCACCAGCATTTACTCTCTGCCTGATTATATTTGAGACCTGAGTTGCAGAGATTTGCTCCTAGAACTAGCTAAGTAGAAAATCCAGAGATTAAGACACACTTTTTAGAAACGAAGCCTGGTAGAATAATATCTCATGACCTAATTGCTGCAGTCAGCAGGGGACTGTGACATGCAAACTTCTTTCTCCCTGTCACTCTCTACTGCTCACTCAGCCTGGGAAACAGGAGAGGAGAAAAAAATCCTTAAATCAACTCTTTGGCATCTTAGTGCTCAAAGGAAATGACACTGTTCCCTGCATATGTCTGAAATGTGTTCAGTATTTCTGCAAGTCAGAGAACACTTATCCCACTTATGGCTAAAAAAATAAGTAAGGGATGGAGCTCCATCACTACCCCCACAGTTAGCAGATGAGGCTTGAGGCACAGCACTCTGGGGATAACCTGCAGTGCTGTGCCAGGAGTAAAACAGCAGCAGCTCTCACCCTCCGAGATGCTCGAGTCGTGGAACATGGTTTCAAAAGCCTGGTGGGTCTCAGCAAAGGAAGGTCTGTCTGGTGGGTTCCACTTCCAGCCTGCAATGTCAGAAAGCAGAGTAAGTCTCAGTGCCTGAAATGGGCAGGGGATGAACTTTTATTCTGTGCAAGGAGACAGAAAGTAGTCAGGCTCTGGGCTTGAGACTCACTCACTGGTCTCAATTCATAGCAGCACATAGACACCCTACCCTATCCTAACAAACAGATCTGGAGCATAAGGAACCAACTCTAAAAATCCCAGCTCTCTGCTACTCCACAGGTTTTTCTGATCTCCTCATCCCTCCTTCTGACCTTTCCAGGGTGAAGGAGAATTCCTTATTTGCTACCCCTGCTTGGACTGAACACATCTAGCCCGGTCACAGGCAACTGCGTCTGCAAAGCTCCAGGCAACATCCTGCTCAATGCTCTCAATACTGAACTCCAGGCAGACCCTTCCAAGAGAAGGATCTGTGCACCCTGTGGGAAGGAGGAGAGTGCCTTCATCCTAGACAGAGCTTGGAAAGTTATAAAAGGTGTCATGATACAAAGTGTCATTTCTGCAGTTAGAAATCTGCACTACCAGAACATGTTCTGGAAGCACTCAGTGCTGTTATCACCATAAGGTCTGGAGAGTGAGTAGCATTCTGCTCATTTTGCATTAGTATCACATCAATTCCCAGTTTTAGGGATTTTGTCAACTTCCTGAAGGTTATTTTGAGCAGTAATGTCCTTCATTCTCTGTTTGATAACTGAAGTCCACCCTGACTTCCTTTGCCAGGCTGGGGACCAGGTGTCCCTGGAGACAGGCTGTTCACTGCAGATTCCTCCCACCCTGCCAGGCTTTGCCCCCCAAACTCCAGGACAAACACCCTGCCAGGCTTTGCCCCCCAAACTGGACAAGGATACTCACATGCCCTCATCAGCTCATACACCTTGGGAGGGCATCCCTCTGGCTGTTCCATCCGATAGCCCTTTTCCAGCAGATCATACACCTGAGAGAGGTCAATGCCTGGGTATGGTGACATCCCATAGGTAGCAATTTCCCACAGAAGCACCCCAAAGGCTGCAAGAGGAGGAAAACAAAAATTCTATGTCATAAATCTGCCCTCTCCTTGTGTTGCTCATTACACTGTGGCCTTTACTGCAGCTTGAGGCAGCACTGTTGTCTTGCAGATATTTCAGCAGGTTACTGTCTAAGCTAAGAAAACTAAGGTGAGTTTTCTTACCCCACACATCTGACTTGATGGAAAAGGTGTTATAGGCCAGGCTCTCAGGAGCTGTCCATTTGATTGGGAACTTGGCTCCAGCATGAGCTGTGTAGGTATCACCAGTCATCAGTCGACTTAAACCAAAGTCAGCCACTTTCACCACATGATTTTCTCCAACCAAGCAGTTCCGTGCTGCCAGGTCCCTGCACAGAGGAAAAATGCACAACTGTAGAAGAAGAAGGGGCTTCACACACAGTTCTGGGGTCCCACTCATCTGTACTCTGTACAAGGCAAGGTGAGCTCTGCCCTCAACAGCGTCAGAAACTGAGTGGACTCAGGAGCAATGAGGTAAGTCAAGATTAGGGTTCATTCTTTAGATGCTATTAAACTTCTAGTCATGACAGGTGCTACAATAAGAGTTGAGGGCACGATGAGATCAGCAGCTCATCACACACTGGCAACAGGTTTATGGCATGGCTTTATCTGACTGGATGAAAACAGGACTTGGGGTGGACACAGGAGACACAGGACAACACCAACTCTAACAGCTGTCAGGGACAAAATTGCAAGTCTGCTATGGAAGTCCTGGGGAGAAGGTACTGCAAGACAGTACTAAAACTGAACAGCCAATGGATAAGCCATTGTGAAACCAACTCTGGGAGAAACCTCCCCAAAACCAGGAATTCCTGGGTCACCCTGCTGGTGGGCTGTTTATCACTGCAATCTGAAAATGCTCCCACTCAATGTGAATGAAGTTCACCCACCTGTGGATGAAGTTCTTCTTCTCCAGGTACTCCATGGCAGAGGAGATCTGAGTGGCCATGTAGAGCAGCACGACAGCACTGACTTCCTCCCGGTTGCACTCCCGTAAGTAGTCCAGCAGGTTCCCATAGGGCATGTACTCTGTCACAATGTAGAAGGGTGGCTCCAGGGTACACACACCTAGCAGTGAGGAGGGAGGATGTGAATGAAGCTTCCCTTTCTTACCACTGTTCCTGGTTTAATATCCATTTATTGCATTTTGTGCCAATGAGCGTAGACTTCTACCAGCCCCAGGTCAGTGCAGCCCAACTAAAACTCTCTGCTTCTGTCTGTTCATCTGTCCATCCACTTCATGGATAGAGAGGAGCCTTGAAAGCACTCTACTCCTATAGACCATTCACAAAGCTGGAGTTCTGTTCTTTGGAAGAATGAAACAGGAGGTATTTTGAACACGTGATTTGCTTTTCATCCCCTCTCTGCCTTCACAAGGCTAAGGAGTGGCCAGCTGGAAGCAGGTACCTGTCAACTGCCAAGACTTCCAGACTGAAATGTCACTGCAGAGTAATGTGAAGCACTCCCATGTGCTGGGTAAGGAGTCAGCACGGTGGGACCTGCTCCTAAAGCAGCATTCTCACACATTCCTGGGATGACTACTTGCTACAGTCACCACAATTAAGTCCAAAGCAAGTATTGGTGGAGGAGGAGGAGGAGGGCAACAGGATACTCTGCTCGTGTCTCTGTGAACTCCCCTGCAGCACCACTGTGTGCTTATTCATACCCTTACATACACACAGGAGTAAAACAGCCATGCTGTGCATCAGAAAGGGCAAAAATGCAGCTCTCTGATGAGAAATCTCTTAGTCTCTGCTCCTGGAACCAGACAGGGCTGGGCAGACACTTCATCTGTGCCTGTTTTTTAAATGGGTACAGAATAGTTGCCATTAGTAAAAGCCTTCACATTCTTCACATTTCTCCTTTCATCCCAGGCTTGGCTTGACAGCTCCACTCCCCAGAGCAGCAGAAATCCAGAGGCAATTAAACACCAGTAAAGGTCTAGGGTGTCTCCTTAAGAATCTTTGTACATGTAGAATTAACAGCTATGCAGACTATTTAATAATGATCACCATATCATACATCTGCCAGCGAGACAAAAGGGCACGGCCAAGCTGCAAAGCCTGTGGATTTCTCCCATTCATGTGCTGTTTGATCTCGTGTACTGATTTGGTGTACACAGGGCCCCCACAGCAGCACTGATCTGGTGTCTTCTGTTTAATTAGGGACTAATTTGTTCTCCTCAGTGCAGCCTTTTCTATAAATGTCTCTGCTTTGAGAAGTACAAAGAACAGCATTTGTTGTGCTTCCAGTATCATTTTTTCCTTTCACTTTGAATTTTCTTACAATTCTGCTCTGTTCTCTTAGGAAAATAAGTCCTGGAAAGTGCTTTTGTAAATCTGGTTTAACACAGCAGAGGAGGAATCTGAGCTGATAACTGAACCCTGGAGCATGTCTAAGGCCAAGGACACAGACTAACAGGAGGATGATACTGCAAACTTTTACATAACACACAGTCATGCCTCAGCATTAAAGTTGTCTTCTAATGTAAGTGACTGTGTTTGATGTTTTATTTAAAATCAGTGTCTCCTGGCTCAAATATTACATAAAGCAGTAAGCTGTCAAAAATACCACCCCAAAACCTGCCCTGATTCAAAGTTATATAAATACAGGAAAGCTGCCACTGCATTGAAACAGGTTTCTGCCAAAATGAAGACTAAACAAGAAGAGAAGGAGCAAAGGTTATTTCACTGACCTAACAACTGCACCAGATTTGGATGCTTGATCTCCTTCATCACAGCAGCTTCTTTCAAAAACTCCTCCACCTCCATGGTATCTTCCTAGATAACAGAGAGCCAAAAGAAGGGAACAATTACCTTCATGAGCAAGGTCTGGGTAACACCACACATCCTCACTGAGTACAAATGCAGACAAGGACACCATCAGTCTGGTGTTCTGGCTTTCACCAAAGCAAAATGTGACAGCCCTGAAAAGCTGCCTGGCTGGTCTGCAGCATGGCAAAGGGACTGATCTGCAGTACCCAGACTTGCCTGTTTGATACCTGCTGTGCCTGGTGAGGAGGAGATGCTCAGATCACTGACTTAGTTCCCCCGCCTAGCTATAAAAACAGTTTGAAAGCTTCCTTATTAGTGGGCACACAGAATTGCAGTTGTTGATGCTGAAACAGAGAAGGGTTTGATAAGATAAATTGAGAAGCTGAATTTTTACAGGAGTGGAGGTCGTAGAAGGTATTTTTCAACACCGTTGATTTCTTTAAGCCTCCACAGCTCCCCTGGGGGAAGGGCTGGACTTGGTAACCATTTCTACAGGTCCAATTTGGACATGCAGCTCCTGCTGGGCCAAATTTCCACTTGTTTCTAAGCCACATGCACTGGTGCAAGTTTGATAAGGTAACTCTGGTCTGCATGGATTTTATGCAGATCAGCACACTCCATTTCCTGCTGTTTGTATCATTAGGTGGTACAGTTGAGAACATTACAATTTCCTTGCTCTCTCAGAAATGGTGACCAGCAGTGTGGAGCAGTCTGGAAACTCACCTTTAATGTTTTCACAGCAACTGTGAGATTGTATTTCTTCCAGACACCCACGTACACCTCGCCGTACTGCCCTCCCCCGAGCTTGTGCTTCATGGTGATATCTGTCCTCTCCATCTCCCACTTGTCATGGATGGGGGACACTCCATACACAGTGGGCTTATTGCACTTGGGTGCTGGGTAGTGCAGAGTTGTCACCAGGCCATCTGCTACTGTTGAGTGATGGTGCACGAGCTCTGCCAGAGTGCTGAAACGGCTTTCTGCTGTCACATACACCTGTCAGGAAACAACCAGGAATCTGCTTAAATGAAGGCAGCTGAAAGCTTAGTAACACTGGAAAACAGGTACAGTATAAACATTCTAAAGTGTTCTTTTTCATAAAGACAGAGAACCCAATTTTAGAGCATTTGTCCTCATCTTGTTGGGCAAATGACTATTAATCTGTAGGATCTGTAGCTGCAGAAGGCAGCTAGGTGTAAGCTATCACTTAGGAGCTGTGCTGTCTCCTGCCTTGTGCTTCACAGGACTAGAAACTGGAATTCTTGCAGCCAAGCACAAGGCCTGTTTCTGCATCTCTCAACACAACATACTACAGTTTGATCTAGGGTAAAATGCTTATATGGACCAGTGGAAGGCCATCACCACCCCAACCACAGCTGCCTTGCTCCTCAGCTGCTTTCAGCCAGGGCAAGTACTGTCTGCTCTTCTTCCAAAGTGCTGTTAGGTAAGTTTCATAGTTTCGTAGTATGTTAAAGGGTTGGAATGGAGCTTATAGATCATTGAGTCCCAAGCCCTGCCCTGGGCAGGGACACCTCCCACCAGAGCAGTTGCTCAAGGCTCATCCAACCTGGCTGTGAACACTGCCAGGGCTGGGGCAGCCACTGCCTCCCTGGGCAACTCACCACCCTCACAGGGAAAAAACTCCTTCCTAATATCTCAATTTCCCCTCTTTCAATTTATCCCCATTCCTCCTTGTCCTGTCACTCCACTTCCTAACAAAGTTACCACCAAACTCTTGACATCCATGTTCTTTGTGTATACTAACAAACCAGAGGGCCTGTCTTCTCTCACACACCTCCCTCCCTTAAGAGTCAGCACCTCTTAATTAATATCCTTACGTCCTCTCCCCCCAGCATTGTCCAGAGCTCCTTACCTTGCCATCTGAGGTGGTATTGATCCTGTAGTGGTAAACACGTCCTTCGTACCTGAGCGAGATGGAGAGCTGCCCTGGGCTGCTCTCGCTCTCCCGGACCAGGAAGCTGCCGTTGATGAGGCTGCTCAGCAGGTACTCAGCTGCACTGCGGGACACCGGCCCGTGGTACCAGGAATGCTTCTCCAGGCTGTTCACTGGAGTGATGTAGTTGCTTGGTACCCAGCCCTGCCCATTCTTCGAACGTACCTCGCTCCATTCTCCGTTCTGGTTGTAACCCAGGACTCGCAACTTCTCACCTGTGAGCCGAAAGAAGAGAGCAGGCTGCTCAGCAGGTACTCAGCTGCACTGCGGGACACCGGCCCGTGGTACCAGGAATGCTTCTCCAGGCTGTTCACTGGAGTGATGTAGTTGCTTGGTACCCAGCCCTGCCCATTCTTCGAACGTACCTCGCTCCATTCTCCGTTCTGGTTGTAACCCAGGACTCGCAACTTCTCACCTGTGAGCCGAAAGAAGAGAGCAAAGTAAGCACCCAGGACTCGCAACTTCTCACCTGTGACCAGAGAGAAGAGAGCGAAGTAAGCACAGCACAAGGTATTGGGGCTCACTCAGCATCAGCTGAGCCTGGGTTTGTAGCTTAACAGTAAAAATCAACTTAGAACTAAACTGCTGTATATCAAGTATTTATCAGGCAAAGTTTCAGACAGAATACCTAGGCTGCTGTTCCCTGATTTACTGCAGTGAGAGTGATGAACTCAAAAACTTGTACTTTTTAGACTAGAAAGACTTCCATTGGAGGGATGAGGTTTGTCTCCTTGAAGCCTTAAGTGACATGTGATTCAAAACAGTTCCACAGCAGGTCATGTTCTGACATATGCACTGACCAGAAGCAGAGTCTGTGCAATGCTTAATTCTTGATTCTGCCCAGGTGGAAGTGCTCAGTTCTGTTACCATCCATAATGTAATCACTTTCCTCTGCCCCTTCCTACAATAGGTATCTCACAGGGTCAGTGATCTGGGGAGCCTAGACCTGGCCTGGGCTGGACTGTTGAGCCAACAAAACTGTATCTGTCCCAGGAGAACTGCCCAGCAGTGTCCCTCCAGCACCAGTGAGGGACAGACCAGCAGCTTATCACCAACCACGTAGAGAATCTTCTTCTCTAACTGCACTACTCCCATTCCCATCTGGGAAAGGACCCCACTCTGTTTTCTGTCGCTCAGTTTTGGGGCTAGCAGCTGCTGTGTGCTCCCCAGCCTCACTCACCTTTGGTGATGCTGAGTGTGTTGTCACCGCTTGCTACAAAATCGTAAAGTGCAACGAAGAGATTGGGGTCGCTCTCGGTGGCTCCGAGCAGGTTCTCCTTGGAGCTCCACCTGATGGCTTCGTTCAGGGCCTGCGGCTCCACATCGCAGCCGTAGGGGCGGTGCAGAGCCTCTGGGGAAACAGCACAGGAGGCAATGGGTTTGTGTACCACTGTAAATCACTGAATCTTGGGATACGCTCAGTTAGAAGGGACACACAAGGATCACTGAGTCCAACTCTTGGACCTGCACAGGACACCCCAACAATCCACCATGTGCCTGAGAGCATTGGCCAAACACTCCTTGAGCTCTGTCAGGCTTGGGGCTGTGACCACTGCCCTGGGGAGCTGTTCAGTGCCCAAACACCCTCTGGGTGAATAGACCAAACAGTGCCCAAACACCCTCTGGGGGAATAGACCAAATTTATCAAACAGATTTAAACAGACCAAACCCCAATGCACAGCAGAGCAAAGCTCCTACTGCACACTCTACCCTTAGGGAAAGGGAACAGCAGTATGGACTTTTACATCAGTGGGTTTCAGTCCTACTTTGCCAACTCTTCATTCTATAGGTTCCTTCTAGCAGGGGCTGGAGAAGGTGATTAACTGCCCATAAACCAAGTACCAAGCTACACATATAAAATTTCTATTTAGTATTTATTATATACACTACTATTTCTATACAACTCTATGTGAAAGTCTTTAAGCATTCATGAATGATGAGTGGGTGCAAAATTAAAAGTGCTTTTGTAGATTACATGGAGGAAACCTTCCAAAGCCAAAATGTTCTATGTCTCTGTTGTTCCTGTGGTGAATGTAGATAACCTGGATCTGAAACCAACATTACAAACACAGGGAAGGCTGAATTGTGGCACAAATGAGAAGTGTAAGTTGGGACAGTAACTGACTCAGTACTAGCAGAAATCATGATGATTTGTGATACATTTCAAGACTGTGTAAGTAAGAGGTGTAAAACTGACAGGGGCAGAAGGTAGCACAGGTGATGACAGGTATTTATCAGCAGTGTTTCTGAACACTCAGGCAATTCTGTTTTGCTGTTTCAAAGGACAACTGATGCAAACTTGATAGTCCAAGGGATCAGATATGTTTCATTAACAAAAGAAACAGGTCCCTACACTCCTTGTGATGATTAAAACCAATCTAAACCCACAGGGTTTTAGAGAGAACTGTGGTAAGAAGCAAAACTGCCTGAAAAGTTCATGGTAGTGCCATGCCAAGACCATTATTAGCTTGCTAACCCATAGAGAGGTTTTCCAGGAACATGTAGCAGAATAAATTTCATCATTATGACAAGAGAAAGAGCAATGTTGTGGCTTCATGCATGTGGGCTGCTCAAGGGGGGGAAAAAACTGTGAAGGTTATGCATTTTTAATCTGATGGCACAATGGATATAAGGTCCTGTCCAAATATCTACATCTGAATTCTCTTGTTGAACTTATGGAAATTTAACTGTGAAAAGGTTTCACTAAATACACCAAACATAAAAAGCTCTCTTTGAGAAATCTGAGGCTTGCTTTGCTTTACACTCATTGCTTTCACCTGTTCCTCAGGGGCTGAGAAGTCAGGCTTGGGATGTCTGTAAGCAGATCACTGCCAGAAAATGTGTGTGTGACTATCTTCTCACTTCCCCACAGACCCTGAGATGTACACTTGTGAGGGAGAGCTGGTCTATAAGGCACTTGAAAAGAGAACAAAGAGCTCAAATGTAACACAGGACGGGAAAACTGGGAAGTCAGCGAGACACAAACCAGGAAGAGGCCTGTGCCAAGTAACAGGCACAGTAATGTGCCAAATCTGTGTCACAGGGCAGAGCTCAAGCCTGGAAAATGAGGACTAAGGGGGTTTCCAGCCTCTAATGCAATCCTTCCACTGTATCATAGGGACATGAGAAAGTAAGTGGTTGAGGTTTGCTCTGTTTTATTACTAAGTAAGTGGTTGAGGTTTGCTCTGTTTTGTTATTGAACATGTAGCTAAGTGGCTTTTGACTGTGTTTCTGTAATTATTTGGGGTTATACTGCTTTGCATAACCTGTTCATCTTGCAATTACTCAACAACACACCTCCTAAGCCTTGTCAAAGTAGCCTCCATTGAGGTTCTCCTAGCAAGAAGGAAAGTGACTGCAGAATAAGCCACCAGAATGTCAGTTCCCTGGTTCCATTGAGCCTAGCAAGAAGGAAAGTGACTGCAGATTAAGCCACCAAAATGTCAGTTCCCTGATGGCACTGCCTGCAGATGCAATATTTACTTACCCTTCTTGCTCCTAACTATCAACCACAATTAGCTTCACAATACACTGACCCTTCAGACTGGGTGGTATCATGGAAAAGAGGAAATCCCAATGCTCAGCTACCTACACTGCAGCCCTAGCAAGAAGGAAAGTGACTGCAGATTAAGCCACCAAAATGTCAGTTCCCTGATGGCACTGCCTGCAGATGCAATATTTACTTACCCTTCTTGCTCCTAACTATCAACCACAATTAGCTTCACAATACACTGACCCTTCAGACTGGGTGGTATCATGGAAAAGAGGAAATCCCAATGCTCAGCTACCTACACTGCAGCACAGCTGCCAACATCCCACTCTATTTTTTTAGGGCTGGGTGTGTGTCCAGTTGTTAAGCTCCAGGAAAGAACACCAGTTCCTAAATCCAGCTCTCTTTATGGAGTAAAAGTACATATTTAATTAAACAGTACATTTTTATACTCCTACAGTGACTTGTGTTAGTGTTTCAGTGCCTCAAGCAAAGTCACTCAGCAAATGTGCTGTATGAGAACTCTGACTTAGCACCTCTGCCAAAGAGCAAACTCAAAAGCAGGGAGTTTCCAAGAAACACCTGACCCTTCTGCCCTGAAATACCTTAATGCTGTTTAAATACCTTCTTACTTTCAACTATATATCTGCCAACATGTGAAAGGCTTTAAACAAAAACATAAGCATTTATTCTAAATCAAAGCATCCTTTAAGTTTCTCTCCCAGCTCAGGCAGTGAGCACCCAAGCCCTGTTTCCCACACGTGTGCCAAGGGTGAGCCTGAGGCAGCCCAGTGCCAGCTCAGCTCCAGAGCTGGCACAGCAAACCCCCTGCCCAGCTCTGCCTGCCCACACAGCCAAGGCACAGCCAGCAGAAATCCCACCTGCTCAGAGCCAAGCAGCTCTGCCCACATGGAAACGTGTGGGGCTGTGCTGGATCTCCAGCAGGGAGTCAGAGCAGATGTGGGACTTCTACCACTTCCTTGGGAATGCCAGAGGGCCTGGCACATGTTCTTAACACCCACTTGATGTACAAAAAAAGCCAGCAGAAGTTAATGTTTGATGAGGAGCTTGAATCACTTAGCTACAGTGCTTACCTAAAAGTCACATACCTAAAAATCAAATGCTTTTAAGAGTTTATGTCTCACTAACTTCCTTCACTTTCATCTCAGAGTGACTTGGATGCTTAAGTAACTGGAAAGGTTATATATACTAAAGGGGAATTTACCAGGATAAAAGCACCTCTTGCAGGTTATTATTACACAATAACCCACTCTGCTCAGCACAGTGTGGGATCTACACCATCCAGTACGTAGGGCTAAGGAAGGGCAGTGAAACGTGATCCTTGCAGAGATGTCATTAAGGAAACTCAGCTAACCAGAGCATATCACGAATGCTGCCCCTCCAGCCAAACAGTCTGCACCAAAAGTGAGGAAATGACCTGGGAAGCTCTGTTTTATATCAGCTAACCACAAATCATATATGATCACTTTCATTTCCTATACAATGGAAAACTTACATCATCACTTAGTGTACAAGTAATACACAGTCACGCAAGGAGGTTACGCTTCACCCAACCCTTCCTTTCCTTTACTCCCACGATTCAATCTCCTCTCTGGATATGCCTCTGCTATTCAGCCAACATGCAAGGGGTGTTTTGTCCCCCTCCCTTGCTGCCAACATTGCAAGTAACAGTAGAATTACAGAATCACAGAATCAGCTGGGTTGGAAGAGACCTCAAGGATCATCGAGTCCAACCCTCCCGTGGTCACTAGCCCATGGCATTAAGTGCCACATCCAGTCTCAGCTTGAAAACCTCCAGGGATGGTGAATCCACCACCTCCCTGGGCAGCACATTCCAATGCCTGAGCACTCTCTCTGGAAAAAATTTCTTCCTAATATCCAACCTAAACCACCCCTGGCAGAGCTTGAGTCTGTGCCCTCTTGTCCTGCTGCTGGTTGCCTGGGAGAAGAGACCAACCCCCACCTGACTCCAACCTCCTGTCAGGGAGTTGTAGAGGACAATAAGGTCACCTCTGAGCCTATCTGGGACCAACCTGTGGTCCCAGAGCAGGAGGTAAATATGCCAAATGTTACATCTGAGAGTCACACTAAGTAGTGTCTATTTCTGAAATTCTGTGTCACTGCTCACAAAAAGCAGCATTTCAATGATCCTGAAGTCTTGATAAATGCTGGCAAACTCAGACCTGCCTTTGGCTGGTCTCATACTCCAAGACAAAGACTCGAAAGCACCCACATCCTCCTTGAAGCACTTGGAAAAATACAGGAAAGGGACAGGATGACACTCCTGAGCATCCTACCTGCGAAGCACACACCAGGCTCGGGAGCTTCCTCGCCGAGGCAGCAGAGCAGCTTTCCCTCTCTGCCATAGCTGCTGGACTGGAGGAGGACTGTCCCCACAATCATGCTGTGCTCCCCGGCAAGCAAAGAGGCTGCTTGGCAGAAATCCTGGGCTGCCACTGCCAGCACAGAGGGCACCACGTGCAGCCGATCCCTGTCACAAGGCTGGCAGCGCTGCCGGGCACGAGGAGGAGAGACTGGGAAAGTCAAGCGGTGGGTTAAGGTGGTTATTAGCTGGAAGTGAGGGCGGAGCTTTCCAGGGAACGCTGAATAAACAGAGGATGTGGGGACTGGATTGCAAGTTGAAACAATTTGGAGATGAGCTATAGAGACAGAGATTTGTTCCACTAAGACTTAAGCAACAAAGTGTTTGGGAAGAAAGCAAACAGTTTCCTTGGAGAAATTCCTTCGCCCAAATGACAAAACAGAACACCCGTTACAGGGACCGCCCAGATTGATTCACTTTTCCACTCCACATACCACTGCTGGAGCACTGTTTACGTGAATCAACAGCAAAGGCTGTTAGTGAAAACACACACCTAAGAGACCACAACACACATCTACATGTGAATGCTCTTGGACCTGTCAGAAAGCAAAGCCAGCACAGCATACCCAGTCTGACTTGTATTTAGTAACACTCAGGACAGCTCTCCAAAAGGGCTCCATCAATTACCTCTCAACTCCTAAGGTTTGTAGGATGAATCCTTTCAAAGCCCTAGTTTTTCCAGCAGAGCTGTATGGTTTGTAGCAGGTGGACATGGAAGGGTTAATGAGCAAGCACTCACCAAGGCAGTCTCACCTGGGAGGGTGGTGGGCTACAGAGGGGTATAAAATGGAGCAGGGAGAAGGAATTCAGTGGTTTGCCCTTGGAAAGGGCAGAGGAGCTGTTGCAGCACACCAAGGAAAGAAAGCAGCACTTCTAGAATCCATGAACTTCACCACTCTGCGAGAAAGGCAACTGCACCATGTGATAAGGACTCAAATCAGGCTAAAGGTAAGCAAGCTGGCTTATTCCAAACGTTTGTGTTTTGTGAGGATGTGGAAAAAGAGCATATAGAACTAGGGATGTGCTGTGGTAAGGAGGAGTTACTTTCCCTATGTGGTTTGTGACAAGAGCTGTTTTCCCTGCAACCATCACCTAATGTATGTGAAATATTAACTAGACAAAGAAAATACCTTAGGACACCTGCACACTACTCTTCCTAAAGTTGTGGCAAGTCAAATGGGTGCTCTCTTTTCTTCCCCTTCCAAAACCAAACTCAGTGCCTCCTGTAGCATGCTACCCAGCAGTCAGAGGTTGCGATGCCTTTACTTAAGAGCTCCCAGGCTTTCCCTTTTCCTCTTTGTTTTGCTCCTTGCAGTTCACTGTTTCCTCCCCTCTTATTTGCTTCCAGTACTCTGAACCACACTGGTATTTCTACTAAGCTTAGTGTCTGTAAAAGCACAAAAAAAATCAGATTTTGTAGAGAAAGCACAGTCTCAGAAACAGGTGGATGAGCTTTGTGACAAACACATTTATCTAAAGTGCTACCGGGAAAGCACAGGCTGCATATGGATTTGTGGTTAGATTAGTCTCAATTGTAACAGTTACTAACCTTAGCCAAAGTAACACATTTATTTCTTAGTTAAATGGGACAGATGAGTAATTGGTATTTGGAACAACAAAGGACTAGCAGGAAGTTAGGATGGATCAATAATATAACTTGCAAATATACCTATTGACCTTATCAACTTCAGCCTCTGTCAGAGTCTGCAGCCAAAGCCTCTGGGCTGGCTGGTGTGTTAACAAGCTCCTGATGGGAATCAAGTAGTTCCCAGCACTGGCATTGTGGGTGAGAAACATTTTGGCTGTGAGCTTCCTACAACAGAGTAACTGTGCCTTCAGCCACCCTCCCAAAGGTGTTCCTTAGTGGAAAGGACCAGGAATGCAAAGCAGTCCATAAGGTCCTGTTAAATGCACCCAGGCAGAAAAAAATTAAGCATCTTGGCATTGGAATGTGCTGCCCAGGGAGGTGGTGGATTCCCCATCCCTGGAGGTTTTCAAGGTGAGACTGGATGTGGCACTTAGTGCCATGGTCTAGTGACCACGGGAGGGTTGGACTTAATTATCTTGGAGGTCTTTTCCAACTCAGTTGATTCTATGATCTTTATAGCATCCAGATGAGAATTATTTCTTTTACAACTGATTTTCCTAGATAGTTACTTTGTGTTGCAGGCCACCACCTTGATATCTGCATCCTGTTCCTATTCTCTTTGCAGTAAGTGCCCAACACGAAATCTTAATTGTTATACTCCACTTCCTCAGTGGAAGAATCACCTTTCAGGCACAGCAGCTCTTCCCAGCTCTTTATGCTATTCCCTGTGGTGCCCTTCAAGGCTGTTTCCTGAGAGTGGTTACCCTTCCTGTGCAACTTAAGTCATCCATTTAGAAGCACTTTTCTAGTTCTTCCAGGAGTGGGGAAAAAGTTGAATAAAAGGAAATCTTGCTGACTATGCTACTTTGAAATGGATAGTTTAGGCAGCTTCTAAAAATGTTGCTCTACTCTGAATTTAGAACCAACTGTCAATGACTCCTAATCAAACAAAAAAATGTATAAATGAAAATACAGCTCTGAAAAGGACTTGGTGTGGTTGGCCATGGGCCAAAGTGACTGGTTTGTCAAAGGAAGGGTGAGAGACAGAGAAAGGTTTATAGGGTAAATACTAGTTATTGCATGCAGTCTTGATCTGATATATTAGTCTTTTACATCAAAACCCACAAGGTATACAGATGTTTGTGTATATAAACACACACCATGTTCTCTCTTCTGGCTTCTTCCATGCCCCTTTTTCACACAGGGACACCTGAATACAAGGCCAGCAAGATCCCTGCACATGCCACATATTTCACTTTAATTTCACTCTTGAGTCTTTAAACACCAATATAAATATCCATGATGCTATTTTAGACAGACTCATTTAATATTTTGCTTTTAAGACTCTCAAAGAACAGGCACTGGTCAGCTCAGGGCATGGAGAGAGCAGATCATCAGGTGTAATTGGTGTTTTCCACTGCACCTTCAAAACATACACCACATTACATCACCAGACTTTCAGATCTTTAACTGGCTTGTTAGTGGGAGGATTTCTGCCTTAATGAATACAAGGAAACAAAACTGATAGCACAGCAGCAAGTGGGTTTCCTATTTTGCTGACATGATTGGAACAGTATCAAGTTCTACAGTAGCTTTGTTTCTGGAGCCAAGTCTCAGCACTTCCTACTAACCAAAAATACTCAAGACAAACTACATACTGAAAAGCAAACCAGGGCTGAACAGGCCAAGTTTCTGCTGTCTAATAATGTGGTAGCATAGAAGCAAACCTATGAACTTTGCTTCCCCTGTAACAGACTTCAGCCTTTACCTAACTGGACCACCTAGTCTTTCTGCTGACATCCATGTGGCCATGAAAAACACCAGTTTGAAGGGGTCAGACAGCTCACATATGGCTTTGGTAAAGTGCAGGCACTTACAAAATGCCATTCCTAGGTGTTCCTCTCCTGCAAGCAACCAGACTCTTAATAACGTGGTTTGCTGGAGCCAAGCACAGATCCATAGTTAGTCCTGGGGCCTCCCACAGAGTGGGGCAAGGTTTAAGTATTGTAAACAACCACTGAGGAAAGCCAAGAAATACAGCTTCAAGCCAAGAACTTGGGATGGGCAAGGAGCAGGTTTCTATTTATGGTACCAGCCAGGGAGAGACAAAGGGAGGAGACATCAGAGTCAGTGACAAAATTGCATCATGAACAGCTCATATCATATGAAAGGAACTATTTCAAGCCAAGCTCGTAACACTGTCATGCCTCAATTATCAAAACATATCTGACATAGAAAAGTGATTTTTGGTATCAGAGCGAGAAATACGTGGAGAAACCTAAAAGTTCTCCATTCAGCTCAGGAACAGAGTTGTTTTGCAGCAGGATGAAGTGCTGATATGATATGATGAAATGGTTTGAGTGGTGGGTCTATACTTACAAGATGTGCTTCTTGGCTAGTTTGATACAAAATTCCAAGGGATGAGAAGGTTTGGGGTTTTGCTGGTACTGAATTTTAACTGAGAGAAGGAGAGAGACAAATCAATTTCACCTGATTTAGTTATATACCAATGTATGAAGAATTCAAGACACTGTCTACCTGAACATTACCAGGGGTTAGTTAGACTGAGATTGTAAAAAATACCAAAGAAGCTAATGTGGATAGAAAAAAACCACCTGTCTTCTGTTTCCCTGGAACCAGTTATCACCTCCCTTGTTATTCACCCTATCAAATGGGCTGAGGGATATCTGTTTCTCAGCCCATTTCCTTGCACAGATGCCAGTGACACAGAACCACTTCTCCCACTATCAGCCTAATGCAGCACTTCCCTATTTCTTCCTCAACTAATTTCTGATAAAGAAGTAGCTTTTTGGTGCAGAATCCAGTATGAAATAAATCAAGTATAAGCCCCAAAGTCTTTATTTGAAAATCTTCACTCATTCCTTGAACACAAGATGGATAAATCTCTTCACAGATCAATGCAAAGGCTGTGACTGAACAGTCTACTGAAGCATTTGGTAGCTTGGCTGCCTTAAGAGAGAATTTCCAAACAGATGAAGTATTGATAACCATGCTGTTACCTCAATTGTCTGGCTCTCATTACCTCTGAGAATTTCTATCCTCACAGAACTGTCAAGAAAAGTGACCCTGGGATAAATGCAGCCAGCAAAGTGATGCAGGGTTTTAGATGCATTTAACAAACATGTTAGGGTGATGAACTCATGAGAGCACAGGAGAACTGGACCTAAGGGTTCTAAAAAGGTGTGACAGACATGTCTTGTCACAGGTACCACCAGAATCCACTCTCAGTACCAGTCTGACTTCTTTCAATGTGCCTCTGGGTGAGGAACCAGAACCCAGCAGCACAACAGATAAGAAAAATACTTTCCTGAAGAGAGATTTTAGTGTCATTAAAATTAAATACAAAAAGGTTTTTAGAACAAAGAGCTAGAAATGCCAAATCCTGAATGCTCTATCAAAGTGTTTGTTCCC